CGATAATCGTTATTACGAGCTTTTAACCGCCATTCCTTTTGTTCCTGCCCTTAATCGATGATTAATTATTTCGTTTATCGCTCCTCGATCTTCCTTTTTTACGAGTTTTATTAAGTTTCGTACGCCTTCCTATTGTTGTATTTTGAAGATTTTTTTTTCATGGTTTCGATCGATTATATTGCGATTCCAATATTTTCCGTTAATCATAATACGGCCAGCGGTCGAAAAATTACCAAATAACGCGAGACAATTTCGAAACGAGATGGTAGAAATATCGTTTTGTTCGATATACCGTCGAAACGAACTCGTATTGTTCCATAAACCACCCCTTGTACGCTTTATTCGCGAGCCACGACGGAATCTCCGTGCATTGTTATCGTTATCGCGTGCACGCACAAATGATGTCGGAGGAACCTTGATGAAACGATGGGTTATTATCGATATTGTTCCTCGTCGATTTCGAGCGATTAAAAAGTAACCTAGATTATTAGGACTGTTAAAATTACTCGCTCATCGCCGTTTATCGAGTTTGTTAAATATACGTGTATACATTGATCTCTAAAATAACAACAATCATCTCTTTTGTCCCCATCGAATATAAAATATTCAATAGGAGTCGTGCGGTATATACGTGAATTATTTATAACGCAAAATTCGCGACAATATTAAATCTACATGAATGATAAAATTCTTCGTATACGTATTGAATTAATCTTCCAATAATTCATAAATTAATTACTATTATGTAAAAAAAAAAAAAAAAGAATCAACGTTTCAAACGAGAATTGAATGCATTTTTAAGCACATATACACCCTATATTTTTTTCATACACCTCATCGATGTCGAGTTACGAAACCACTCGAAAACTCTCCAATAAAGTAGCAATTAATTTCCCTTTCGCCACTCGAATTTACCATCGATTTGCCGCGCAAGCAACCGAGCTTCTGAATATGCAAAAATATCCCTCCCTCCCCAACTTGTTTCATCGCGGCACCCGGTTCAAAAATAACAGATGATTTCGCGAGCGCGTCATAAATCCAACTAGGGATCGGCCCCCTTAACAAGATATATTACTCACGATCGTCCAAATACCGCGAGAATATGCAAAACTCCGCATTTATTCATTCCACAAATTCCGGCTATCATCTTGCAAAAAAAAAAAAAAAAAAAGAAAAAGGAGAGAAAGAAAAAAAAAACCTAAACGTATCCACGCTCTAAATCGCGATTTAATCTCCCTCAATCACAGACCGAAAACCTTCGATTTTTCTTGAAAAAATTAAAACCTCGAATTAACGCAATACTCGTGAATGGAAACGTTATCTAAACGCTCTTTTGTCCCTTCTGTTATACATTTTTTTGAAATTACAGAACAAGGATAAGTACGACACAGGAAGAACTTGAATTCTTAACCGAACGATCAACAGCGCGCATAATGGCGGCGTGGCATTCGATTTGAGAGCGATCCGTGTAAACAGCTCGTTTAATCAGATCAGATGTACACGCGACGCTGTCTAAAGTCGTGAAACGCCCCGTGGTATTGCTCATTAAAGGGAAGAAGGGTGGAACGATAGTGCCGACGCAGGATATCCACGACGACACGGTCGACTATCGCTAGGCACACCTGTCAGCCGAGGAATCAAGTCGTTTGTTACGTTAATTGCTCTCTCGTGTCGCATGCATTAGAGCGGCGATCTTTCACGGTTTACTACCTGTTCTTCGCTTCGTTGATCCGTGAACCTGCCACCCGTGCCCCTTTATGCTTTGTGTGTACATGTTGGGTTGGAATATTTGATCGAGATGATCGATCGGACGGCAATTAACATCGTGCACGTGTTCTTAAGAACATCTAATTAATCATTAGAGATTAGAGAAGAGGAACAGAAAGGGAAGAGGAAAGGGTGTCGCTTTAAAATTGACTTTTGATGAGGATTTTTCTTTCGTTCAGTTTGTTCTTGATTTGCTATGCGATTCTATTTTTAATTTTTCGAGACATGTTCTTGGTTATTCTCCAATAATAGAAAATAAGAGTAGAGTTAATAAAAGAAAGTCGCAATTTTAGAAAAGGAAATTAAAAGAATTCGAGTAGGATTGAACTTTTTTTTTTTTGAATTGTGCAAGATAGTTTAGCTCGTTAAAAACAGCAAGACTTATACAATTAAACAGGTTAATTATAGTTAAAAGAAACGTATACAAAATGTATTTGTAATCTCTTTATTTCCTTAACGCATCTATAAAATTCTTTCTATCTTCGAACAGCTTCGTTCTTTCGCATCTTTATTGATTGTCCATTAATTGGTGAACGTATTAATTGACTGCTTCTTTCTTTCGGGCTTACGATTCATTCTTAAACTCTACGCCTTGCTATGGGTAACCGATACGTTCTAACTCCATTGTTCCCTAATTAAAAATTCCAATACCCGTTATCTCTAATCACAAGATCCGCGTAGAAAAATTTACTTGATGCAATCTTTCGTCTCGTTTAGAATCTTGTGCAAATCGTTGAGGGCTTCCGTTTGAGCGTCCGCGTGGCATTTCACAGCTTCCTTCAACTGTTTCAGAATCGAGACCTCGGCGTTTTTAACGGTGGTTTCCAGTTGCCGTGAGATCTGTTTCCTCTCTTTCATAGCGTTTTTCGTCTCCTTCGCCACGCACTTAACAAACTCGTTCGTCTCCAAACAGTCCTTCAGAATTTGTTTCATCGAGCTCTTGATGGCCTTCACCGTTTTCAACTGCTCGTCGCACTTCGTCTTCGCGGCCTGGAACCCAATCACGGCCTTCTCGTTGCAGATTTTTACCTTCTCGTCGTATTTCGCTTTCACGTCCCGAAGATTCTCCACCTTACCCTCCGAGCACACCTGCAACAAGTTTATCTCGGCGTCTGATTTGACGCGGTTCGAAGAGATTCACAAGCGTATTACAAATTCGAAGTAGAATCTCCATGAAAATAAGGTAAACGATAATTGAATTCTTTCTTTGTCTCTCACTTGAGTTTAAATTCTTTGCTATCGTAATTCTTTCCAATCTCGTTATTATTAATAGCACGATGGGATCTAGTTCGATAGGTATTTTAATTAAATTCAATTCGATAAATTATTATATACACGGCAAACAGAATTGTTGTAATTTTATATATTCGTAAAGAAATAATTTTTTCGATTTACAATGTGGACCATTTTTGGGAATTCATTCGTACAGATAATCTCGAGCCTTGTTCGAACTCGGTTCCCATCGTTACACGATAATTTTAATTGAATTACTCGTCAATCATGATCGATGATACCTTTATAGTTTGTCGAATAACCTCCTCGACCTTTTTTATCTCCTGCCTTAAGAGTTCCTCGTTCTTCTTCATCAACTCGCTCAGTTCTTTGGCAGTTTTCGAGAGCAGCTCCGACACTTCTTTCATCTTCTTCTCGATGTCCATTCTCGTTTGTGGAATGATAGAGGTAAAAGCGTCGATCGAAGCTTTTCTTATATCCTTGTAGCTTTTACCACGTCTCGATATCACGTTCACCTTCGAACCATAAAAATTAAAAATTACTCTCTCTCTCTCTCTCTGTCTCTGTCTCTTTCTCTATTCCTCTTCTCTCTTCGATTTCGTTAGAAAGAGAATCCTTACGTAATCTATCCTCTGCCCCGACTTCTCCCCCATAATATATTCCACGTATTTTGCAATTCATACTCACCATTGCGTCTCGCGCGTACCTCGAAGCGTGATTCGCTCGGAGCAACTGTTTAAACATTCTACCATACATTCTAACATTTTCTTCCTCGATATTACGTTACCACATCTCTAAGGATACTCTTACAATTTGCTTCTTCGTCGATCTTGGAGGAATTGAATTTGCGGGTGAAAAAGGGACGGTGAAACCGCGCGTTAAATTGAAACGTTCCCCTCCCCCCCCCCTTTTTAGTATTCTTACACGCGCGAGACGCAATTCCTCGTGCTCGTTCCCTCTCCCATGATATTCCACATTTTTCACGAGGATTATTTGTCTCCAGGTGATTGGGGGGGCGAGTTGGAATCGGGGAGGGAAACGTTTGGAAATTTCATTAGCGGGAGGAATTTCATTAACTGAAATCCATCCGCGACGAAACGATATAGAGAGGTATCGAAAGGGGGGGAAAGGAGTTCAACTTCAGTCGATAGAATAATTCACGAGGGCGGAGGACGTTCGCGCTATTTATCGGTCTTGACAATTTTTTTCGAGAGAAGGAGCGTGACTCGGTTGAGGAATTATTTATTTTCGTCTCATATCGGGGGACTCGTGTCGAGGCTCGAAGGTGGAGGAGGCGAGCCCGAGAGCACGATCGTGGACGAAACGACGAAGTGAGAAATTCAGAGGGTGATATATTAAAGTGGTCGAACTCGTGATCATAAACAACACGGGTTAAGAAAGATTTCACGAGGAGGAGGAGGATTGGTACATCCGTGAGAGATTCTTCGGGGAAAAGATGTAAAACAAGAAATTTAAATAATATTGGTGCATGGTCGTAAAGCGAGTTGTTCAGTTTCAGGAAGGATGAAAAACAAATATCTTTATTATTATGCTGGTTGAAACTTAATTTTGTTTTCACACCAAAAATTTCTTATTAGTATATTCAAGGAGTAAAATGAGAAAAATGGTTAGTTAAAGTCTGTCGTGTTAAAGGATAGGTTAACCTTCAATTCGATGACACGACGTCAATTCGAGGGATCTGAAATTAGAAAGAATTATTTCATTTATATATAATTACTTTTTATTTATTATCTGATTTTTATTATATCGAGGTATTTTCCAAAAATGTTGTGGCTTATTATTTTCTTGTTACTCAGTATTTTATATTAGTTTTGTTATTATATATTGCTTTTGTATTGTTTTCTTGATATTTATAATTATATTAAAACGTGTAGAGTAATATCAAATTATATTATCAAATTATAATGATAAAAATACCAATACAAATATTCGATAAAAAGGAAAATAATAATTCTCAAAAGATTCAAAAAGATCTTCTTTATGGGACTTAAAGACTAGTTCAGTTTAAAGTAATTATGAAAAAAAAGAAAGAAAGAAAGAAAGAAAGAAAGAAAGAAACAATAACATGTTTTTTATACAATCGATTCTTCGTTGAATTATGAAGTACGTAGCATAAAATATTCAATTAAATTCATAAGGAATATGAATAGTCAAATGATTTCAATTGAAGGTTAAACATCTATTGGATTGTAGTCCAATTAATTTGTTGTCATTTCGAAACACAATCTTTTTATCCTTCTTATCAACTGCTTTATATAACACACTCTAAATAATTATATAAAAAAAACATAATTAAGAATGTTCATCATTTGTTCCTTCGTAGCTCTTAAACAGATGCCCTCATTGACACTTTGCCCATCGAGTTCGTATAATTTTCAAATGACAATCTTGTGGAACATGATAAAGTTTCATGGTAAAGGCATCATCGTAGAAGAATCTCCTTTTTGGGGAACGTCGTGAAACCGCGGAGGAATTCCTTAAAAAGGAGCGAATCGTTGAAAAAATTTTCGGTAAAAGACAAGAGTCCTCGTTCTTTTACCACTCATACCAATCCTTAATCCTAAATTTCAAATTTTCAATTCATCGATTAAGCGGAGAAAAATATTCGGCGATATGGGTAATTGTATCGAGAAAGAAACGGAAAATTTTTTGGCGCTGATGGGTCCACGAGCGGACACTACACCTTTGAAGGAGGGTGAAGAGTGCATAATTTTTCTGATAGGTGGCCCTGGTGTCGGGAAAAGTACGTTGGCTAAAAAATTGTCCTCCCAGTATAATTTGAAGCTGATATCTGTGACAAATATATTACGCGAAGAGGTCAATAAACAAACAGATAGAGGAAATTTTTTCAAGTCCTACATGCAAAAAGGTAACATCGTACCGGCTGAGTTTATCGTTCAACTGGTGGTGCGGGAAATGCTAAAAAATCCGACTACGATTGGTTATCTAGTTGTTGGTTTCCCACGGGATAAGAAACAGGTTATTCATTAGATTACTTTGATTAGACGTTTCTCAACCCTTTCATAGCGCGATAACCTTATGCATTATTCGTGTAATAAAATCGTAATCCAAATTATGTAAAGAAATTTGATAGATCGTGATCCTGATAAATATGTCAATTCATAATTCGGTATATCGCGATTTAAATATTATTATCATTTGTACTGCTATCATTTTTAGATAACTGAGAGGTTGATGTACGTATTATATTAATAAATATAATTATAATATATTTAAGTGCAGTTAGGATATGTTACTTGGAATAATCGAGTAATTCGATTGATTAATGTTTCCTACTCCTATTGAAAATTGAATTGCGACTTATGGGTTAAGAAACGTAATTGAATTTTGAAAGAAGTTTTATCTCGTTTCATTTTTTTTTTTTTTAATTTATAATGAAACGATGCATATTGTAAAAAATATGAGAAATATGGAGAGATTAATCGATTAACAGGCTGTGTTATTCAATTCGGAAGTAAGGCAGCCCGATTTGTTAATAAATTTGTATGCAAGAAGAGTTATTCTTCAAGATCGAATGTCAAAACGTGCCACTACCACGATGAGATTCGACGATACCGACGAGGCTGTTGTCAATCGTATAATACACTATTTCGCAAATGTGAAAAGTGCGACAATGCCTAACAAACGTGTAATGAAGATTATTGACGCGGAGAGAAACATAGAGGAAGTGTATAAAGACGTGTGTAAATTTGTAGAGGAAGTTTTACCGAAGTAATTAATAATTAAATATTAATAATTAATTGATTAACTCTGATCAAACATACTATTTTACTTATTTTTAATATTTATTTACAGAGAAAATAATACCTAAAATCTTTAGATAATTCTTCTAGACTCTGCAAAGAAGAACTTTCTACGAAGTTTGTACGAGCTTCCTTAACTTTATTTAAAGGATAAAAGATATATGAAATTTCAAACATTAAATGAAAATATTAAAATATCATAATATTTTATCTCGGAGAAAATTCTAAATAGAATGTTGTACATGTAAATATATTTATTTATAAGTAGTAAATATATTATTTATAAATATATTATAAGTAGTATATAAACATTATAACTTGTTAATTAATTAAATTTGTACATAGATTAGCAATAATTATTTCTAAGATCTATCTTGATCATAGTTTCGAATTTAATATATTCATATATTTTGTAAAACTGCAGAAAATAATCTCATCGATATAATCGTTGTCTATTTATTGAAAATAACAAGTTGCAGAGGTTTCGCGTAAAAGGAAGATCTAGTTGGGCCACGATACATCTGGAATATCGAAACGAAAGAGGAGAGAAAAGGAAGAAGAAGTTGTGTAGCTTGGTCGCATTTCAGAGTTGCACGATCTCCTCGATTAAAAAGATTTTCAATTTTTCTGGAAACACGTGCAGAATAATCGACGTCCTGTCGTGTCCAGGCCTCCTCCCATTTTGACTTTCCATCCTTGCTCCTGATGGAGCCGAGGCTAACCGGAAATTACCAGCAGCTTACTACCCCCCTCCCCCTTCCAATGGATTCAAGCATATTTTCCACGATGCTGCCACTCTTAACACGGTTATCCAGATTATTCCCATTGCGAAATCTATTTCTCTTTCTCTCCACTCCCTCCAATCCCCCCTCATCCAATGTCCAACTTTCCAATAACTTCCATGCGTCGTGCTTTAACGTTGGGACGATATTTCGCCTCAATTGCAATAGTTGGAACAGCTGACACTTAAAGGGCGTATCCAATGAACAAACTTTCTTTTCGCATTATCGCAAACTTTTCGGTTACCTCTGGAAAACTCGAGACATTTCTCCTCCTATCCCTCCGCTCGGTCGTTGCTTTAATTTTTTCCCGGATACGCGAACGGAATTATCCACGGCACCATTCCCTTGGCGACTGTCCGCCGCTTCGAATGTTTCTCCCTATAATTTTTAAACCGTATCGCGGCTGATATTACGCCTCTATGAAATCTAACGAGAACTTATTTTACTTGAAAGTTAAAACGAGCACGTATGGAGGGGCTCGTGTTGAGTCACGTCATAAAACCATGGAATTTCTTTTTCTATTAAAAAAAAAAAAAAAAAAAAAA